TTTGATTTTGAAAACTATGTGAAATCAACAGAATCCATCCAATTAGTCACCTCTCTGATACCAACAAATTAACGCAACAGAACAGATGAAAGAGGAAAACCTGGTAGAGTGATACGCTTTTCCTCCCATTTTTATGCTTGCTGAAGCACTTGAGGTAAAACATCTATTAATCTTTAAAAAACATTGAATTTAATTATCCTGACTAGTCTTCGCTTGTACCAAATGTTACAGATATGTTTTCCTTCATACAGTACAGACTGTTCTTCTAATTTTAAGCTTGTGTAACTAAACTCCAGTCCTATGAGAATTTCATAGGTAATTTCTGCTGTCAGTTGGCATGAAAGCAGCTTCTCTGCAATTGGCCAATCACCTTGTTCACATCAAATAAGTGTACAAAATGGAGTGGTTTGATGTTTCTCTTTTGAAGTCCACACAAGTGGACACAAGGATAAATCAGTTTGCACAGCTAAGCATAAACTGTGAATCACTAAACTTTCTGGAAGTGGAGACAGGGGCAATATGGAAGGGATGAAGATTGTCTTTGCTTTGTACTATCTTTACCCTGTGGTTCCAGGCCAAACTGGGGTTCTGAGGCTGCACTATGCAGGATACATACTTTTTTCCTAAAGAATATGAAAGTCCTTTTAATTCGTTAGTGAGATGTGGAATTCAAAATATTAATGAAGTTCTTGGTTCACTAAACTTATCTTTGATTCAGTCTGAATTACAATTATTCTATAACAACCATTTCTAGCAACAAAACAGAAACAAAATCAAATATTGTTGCTAGTTCCTTCTCCACTCTGTGAAGTGCTCACTGCCATTCACTGAAAATAAAACCCACATTGCCAAAAAAGTGTAGAATTCTTTATTCTTTATCTCCTGGACATTTACATATTTGCTAATGTTCACCCATTAGATTTTTTAACAATAAACTTTCTTGCTCACTCAGTGAAGTGATATATTTTTGTAGTATTTATATCTTCCATTTTGTATTTGTTCCTTTTTAGAGGACTCAATGGACCATCTCTTAACTGCAGCTCAAAATTGTTGATTATGGATCATACACACTAGGAGAGTAATACTAACTCTAGCTTAGCATTGGTGGATTCAGGCACACAAACATTTTGAAAAAAATACACAGTAAAGGGAGAAGATTCCCTTTCTCAAAATTGTTCTGGTAATCTGCCAAGAACTATTATAGGTGCAAATAAACCCAACAAAATAAATATGGCTATAAATGGTAGAAAAAATTAAGATTTGAACTTATTCATGCAAAGTGCATGACAGCCAAAAAGACAGGGAAAAGCACTTTCTGTATTAGAATAAAGAGGAATCAGTTTATGTATGAATGAGAAATCACTCATCACAGCTATTTGCTATCTCCAGGAGGTTACAGTAGATAATACCAAATTAAGAGAAGGACACAAAAAGCAAGAGCAGTCAAGGCAGAAACAGCATCTACACAAAAAAAATACTAAATAGAGTGGAGGTCTGCAGTGTCCAAATAGGAGAATGTTATAGAAGAAAATAAAAAATTTAAAATATAGGCACATTAAATGAATGTCCAGGGGACAGATTCAGGATAATGAGATGTAGCTCAGTTTCAGAACTCACTGTGTCTAGATATTCTGTATAAGAAGGTTTACATGAATTCAGGAAGATGTTAGACATTTTTTATAAGGAAAAAGTTCACAGAGGGATAATAGGCATGATAAAACACTGTCTCTAGAAATCACTAAATCCTGACTGCTGGAAGCTCATAAGGAATAACCAGTGGTATATGGTTTTCATTTGCTTATTCTTCTGCTGTTTGCTTTTAAAAACAAAATACTGAGCTAGATGGGCCTCTGCTCTGAATCAGTAAAGTCATTCTTGCACTCTAATGACTTAATGCACTAAACATTAAACTGAACTAAATGTTCATCTTCTTGCCTGTTGTTTTAACCTGAAATATTTTTTATTTTCTACCAATTTCATCATTGCATTAATACTATTTTCATGTTATATTTTACTGATAACAAATAAATATTCAATATCGTGTTTTGTGAAGAGGAGGACTTAGCTGCAAAATTGAATATAGATATCAACAAGCATTTAAAAATCTAAATCCATTGGTGGAACAAGTAAGATCCTGTGATTTCTAAAAATACACTTCTTTGGTGGATTAGCAACTGCAGGATTTTTCACATGTTGAGGAGACAGATTTGAGAGATGAATTAATTGGCATGTTTCATTTGGAAAAGAAAAGATGCTAAGAACCAGTCATAGCTATGATAAAGGACGCACAGACAAAAGTCAGACATGATGTAAAATTGCCACAGGCATGGCAAGGATTTTGGAAGTCACAGATGGAGTTCCACATACTGACAATCCCCAAACAAAGCAGAATCTGCCTCCAAAAAGAGACATCCCACCACTTGGTCAGTGAGAGAGACCAGTCAGATACACAATGTCATCACAGAAAGGCACTGCACAACAGCAAAGTAGCTGCCTAGACATGAAACCCTCAGATAACATAATCACTGTTTTTCCAACATTCAAACAGTTTGAGAAACTCAGTATCCAAGCAGTAGATTACTGAAGCTGGTGTTGGAGTAAAAAATGTGATGTTCTGTAAATTTTTCACAGAGGATGCATACATTGCCTTTCTGCAAAAGATATTTGGTGATATTTTCACATACTGATTGATACTGGGAATTCTTTTAGCCAGGGAGAATGAGCCCCCTGCCTTTGAAACAGTACCGTATACACACATGAACACAGTGTACTATTAGTATAACATCTCTGACAGGTCAACACACTGTCAGGTAACTGATGAAAAGTTGGATCTCAGTCTGCGCTAATAAACAGGAAGAAAAACAATGTAAAAAAGCCCTTCCCACTCGGCACAGAGGCCTGTTAGCTTAGAAATTACAGTTCTTTTCTAGAAGTAGCAGAGGGTGGAAAGAAGGGAAAGGAGAAATATATATAATAACCAGAAGGATCTGAAATAACAGCACAGAATTAGAGAAGATTTGTAATCTAGCACTCAAGAAAGTTAGAAGAATGAAGAATAACAACAGAAATATGGAAGAATAGCATTAAAAATAGATGGCAAAGTGAGCATTGAAAATATGCAACAGAAAAGAAAGCAGATGATCCATCATTCTTTCTCAACCAAAAGAACAGCAAAAATATTTTAGTAGACATCTTGAAATATTTAGCTTCTCCTTGTTATGCCTTTTATTTATTTATTTATTTATTTATTTATTTATTTATTAAAATTTCACATTTATTTGAAAATATAAAACACACAGTCCTACTTTAATTGACCACAGTAACTTTCTCACCATTAACATTTTCCACTACCAGTGTCATTCTGTTACAGGTGGCCTATTGCTAATTTCTTAGATGAAAAACTTCTCCGTATCGTCAGACACAGACTGAACTACAAGAAAGAATTCATTAGGCATTAAAATGTACATTAGAAAGGCCCTGCACAGTTTTCAGCAGAAAATATGTCTCAAATGTATGAAAGACCCAGTTTATCAGAGCTACATTTTGATGTGTTTTCTGCCTCTACAGGAAATTCTATTCTATTTTGAAAATTTTACTAAGAGCCTTTTGCCAGCTGCCTACACCTCACTGAGTGTTTCCTATGAGTTGCCACAAACTAGGAAAACTTTCTTTCCTCCTGGTAAAAATGAGATTCGAGTTGGCCTCACTCCCAACTCTAGTGCAAATACTCCACAAACCATAGAATCAGAGTGTGATTAAAGTTGGAAAGATGAATGAGATCATCTTGCTCAACCATGAGCCTGTGCATGTGACTGCTCTAGACTGCTCAGTGTGACATCTACACTTTTCTTGAAAAACTTGGAGGGATGTGACTCCACCTCCTCCCTGGGCAGCATGTTCCAATGCTTCACTATTCCTTCAGAGAATAAATTTTTCCTAATATCCAATCTGGCACAACTTGAGGCTGTCACCTCTCATTCTATAGCTCCCCCAGCTATGAGGAAGAGACCAACCACCACCTCATCACAACCTTCTTTCAGGCAGCTGTACTGAGTGATAAGGTCTCCCCTGATCCTCTCCTCCTCTTTTCCAGACGTAACAATCCCAGTTCCCTCAGCTGCTCCTCACAATACTTGTGCTCCAGAACCTTTACCATTTCATGGCCCTTCTCTGGACATGCTCCAGGGCCTCAGTGTCTTTCTTGCAGTGAGGGGCCCAAAACAGAACACAATACTCAATGTGTGCCCTCAGCAGAGGATAGACAGATGATTGCCTCCCTGCTCCTGTTGGCTTCAATATTTCTAACACAAGTCATGATGCCATTGGCCTTCTTGGCACAATACTGGCTCCTGTTCAGCTGGCTGTCAACTAACACCCCCAGATCCTTTTTATCCATGCATCTTTTCAGCCTGTACCACTGGGTGGGGTTGCTCTAGCCAGAATGCAGGAGTTGGCACTCGGTCTTCTTAAAGCTCATATTCTCAGACTAAGCCCATCAGACTTCATCACAGCAATGCGTTTCTTATTTTTCAAATGAACAATTGGAAGCTGAAAGAGAAAGCCTACAAAGCTTTCTAGAAACTCAGCAGCATACCGTTACAGTGGTCCTGGTTTTGTTTTTAATTTATTTGAGAGCCTACAATGAACAAAAATAACGTGCTTCAAATTATCACATGAATGGAAGAAGTGCCTCCACTTACAAAAATATATAGCTATTTCAACTCTTCAAGCTTTTAAATTTGGTGTAATCAGATGCCTTTGATTTTTAAAGAAACCAACATTTCCCTCCTTTACTGAGGCCAATCATTTAAAATCAGGCCCTTGGCACAGGGCATTTTTTACAATAGGACATTATCTTAATTTATTAACTGTCTATGAAGCTGTCGAGATGGGGTTCACTTTGTCACAAATAAACTTGTTGATTTGTGAGGTATGAACAGAAGTTGGTTATGATTCAATCATGCTTCTTTTTTCTTAGGAACATTCTATGTTGCGTAAGCTGGCAGCAGGGACACAGAAAAGTGCTAGTTTAGTTTTGTCACTAAAAGAACAGTCTTTGGAAAAGGAATCACTGGTGGACAGTTGAAGTTGGGTAGGTGACTTGCATCATCAGTCTGGTCAGGGTAGAGAAAGTATTAAGGAAACTCAGTCATCAAAGGCTAACAGTGTGTTACATTTCAGTAGAATGTCACTTTGCTTTGTCTCTGCCTTGTTCAGGTGCAAATTTACTGAAGAAGCTGAAGGAGATTTATTTCTCTCCCTGTGAGCACTGTTAAGAGAACACAGTACAAGAGATACCATTGCTCACAGCCACATTCCCTCATCAGGACTGCAGGTAGGCATATCCTCTCTTGTCCCATCCACCTAACAGCTGTCATTAATACAGTTTTAATTAGTGTTATCAATTGCTGTTTAAGCCTAGGGTCCAAAGGCGATGCTTAACACAGGCAAGAATGAATATTCTTACAACATATCGTAAGCAAATAGTAAGTCTGTGCTATTTTCACTACCTTAACAAATATCAGGGGGGACTGAAAGAGGCTGCTTAACATAGCAAAGGATCTATGTTCCCATTTTTTCTGTAGGAAAGAATTTGACTAGCATGCTATACAACAGGCATGAGGTATGTCATGCAAATTTATGTAGAGCCAAATTAGAAGAACAGAAACAGAATTTCTATATATATGCACACCAATTAGACCATATGATTCCATTTTCATTTCCTATTTGTTTAGCTCTCCCTTTAGTCGCCTGTTCATCATTTTGCACAAACATAGATAGGGGATCACACTTTTCCACTTGCACAAGCAAAAAAGAATTAGCTGTTTTTAAGAATCTGTCAACAACTGTTCATTCAAAAAGTGTTCAGAACACTCAGATGAGGTTGCTAAGTGACAAACTATACATTCACCTATCTCCTTATTAGCAGAAGCAGAGAATTTAGCAAGCAGATTCAGTAAAGGACATTGCTGATTTAAATACTGTTTGTATAAATGTGCCAAGGCTGGAGAACTCAGTCTGTCAACTTGCTCATGCTTTCAAGAAACTTTATCCTCCTTAGCTGCAGGGAAGTACAAATGTCAATTAGATTGAAGCTCCATCACACTTCTGAGAATGTTTTTTTCATTATCCTGATTCGAAGTCTAAATATTTGGTTTTAAGTGACACTACTTGAGTGAGAAGTGTCAGTTAATAACATCAGTTGCAAATGCTTTTCTTTTATTTTTTCTTCTCCTTCTTCTTTTTTTTTTTTCTGTGTCAAATGCATTATTGATGCCAATACCCTTATCATAAAAGCATGAATGAATATGAATGACTGAAAGGCTGATAATCTGCAAGAACACAGCAGTTCTGCATGTCATGGACCCATATCTAAAGCACTCAGGCCACTTCTAGGGGTCCCATGAAGAGTGTACTGCTGTACAGCAGATCTCACTGGATCAGTGTAATAATGGCTAGCCACCCTAAGGGCTGTGTGACATGTGTGCTACACATTTCATGACCTTGTGGTATCCATGCAATTTGATTTTTAATGTCCTAAAATATCTTGATAGATAGAAAACATCCACAGGTATTTTAATCTGCTTTTATGAAGTTTATATTTAAGGCTGCAAAGTGCTACTGCAAATACACAGTCAGTCTGAGGATGGCTCACTTAATAGGTAATATAGACAGGTGAGAAAATTAGCAAAATATAATGGAACTGCATAGCAGTATAGCAATCATCCAAAACTCTCACTAGTCTAGTGCACATTGAAATCATATACTTAGCTCTTCAACATGGACGCTGCCCCCCTGAGCTGCTTTTCTTTTTCACAATAGAATGTGCACGAGGTGTTGTCTATGTTAATCTAAGTGTACTGAAATACCAAAGAAAATGATGTGCAGTACATATTGTATGCAGAAAAATGATGTACACTCACAACACTGATATTTGTTGCTGGTATGAAGAGCTTGAAAAAGAAAAACCCATTCACTGCCCAAGCCATTTTTTAGCGGGTAAGAGCCCTGCAAAGCTCATACAAATTCAAGATAATAGATAACGTGATTCTGAATGAATACAGGTCAGGTACTGTGGGTGTACCAGTCAGGAAAGGAGAAAGGGGGAGCAGCTGTTCTTTTTCCCTCTGGACCAAAGGTGTAATGGATGCCTCTACTTTTGGAAGGTATCAGCTAACTTAAGGAGTTGGTACATCAACATCAGAGTGCTCTCATGGACCCTAGGGCTACATTCAGAGACATCCTTCAAGAGTAGTTATTGGAAAATGACTCATCAGAAAGGATATAAAAAATAAAATCTAGGTATTAGTCACTCTTTTCTTCATCCTTCAAAAACATACTTTCTCACTTCACCCCCTATCTAGATGTAGGGCTTAAAATTGTGTATACCGATACTACTTCAATTGTGCTTTTGCTCCTTCCACACATTCTGTATAATTTGTTCATGAGTACTTTCCTGTATTAAATCTTTCCTGTTCTGTACCTCTTCTTATGTACTGATTTCTGTGATGGTACTGCTTCATTTCTCTTTTAATACCAAATATCTGATTGTTTGAATCTTCTAAATTTAAACTAAGTTAAATTAGCTTTCGTTTATTTTTCTTTGGTTTTGTTGTCAGAAATATCCCAGATTCCACATCTCCTAAAAGGTAATGTTATTGGTCTCAGTGCAGAGCCTGGTTGAATCAGAAAACTGAGCACAGAAAACCAAGCAAGCAATAAGTCAAAATGCTCAACCTGCAAGAAAAACAGCAGCATCAACCATTGATTTTCATGTGTCATATCTTCATGTTCACTGACATATTCTGATCAAAGGCTTACAAGTATAAACCCAGAATGACTTAACTGACTCTGGCAGAATAACTTCAAATTTACACAGCTGAAATCACTATTTAAGTCCTCACTTGGTAGAAAATAGCTCAATATATAGCTCTCCCTAAATAGAAGAAGAACTTTTGAGCACAAAACCAAAAAAGCAAACAAAAATAACCTCAGAAAGTACTACACTTGTGAACCACTATCCACCCTTCTATAGCTCTTTTTCCATAACATCGGGAATGAGTTTGTCCCTTCATGTTGGCTGTGGTAACTCATGCTATTATATTACAGAGCTACACTTCACTTCTTTTTTTGTTTTCGTTCATGCCAGCAAGAGCATGAGTAGGCGTCATATAAGATAAATCTCACTAATTTTAAAAAAGAAAATCTAGTGAACAGGAGGTGATAAATGCTGTGCTGCCTACTCAGGTTCTGTCACATAAGATGTCACTTCTTCATTTTAATTATATTTTCTGCCAACTCACAGAAGCAAACGATTTGTACTACATGTGATCCTACCTCTTTTATGGAATATTTCTGCATAGCTGATTGCAAAATGCATCTACTTGGTTCTGTCCCAAAATTTTCCCATGTTCACTTCTATGTCTGTTTCTGATATTCTATAGAAACTGTCTGTTCAGGAGACGTTAATGTATAAATAACAGCTTGCTCACTGCAAAAAAAAAAAAAAAAAAGACTCAGATTATTTGTACATAGGATTGATTTTTCAAGAATTAATGGATTACATATTGAACTTAAAAATTAATCTTCTGTTTTAGACATGGTTTTGCTAATGTATGTTAATGGCTAGCCAAATTTGTTAAAAAAGTTCTACTGGGTTAAAAAATCAAAGATAAAAAAATGCTAGAATCTAGAATGCCGTAACATCAATTCCTTGTCTGCTTGCATGGCAGACAGGGAGCCTTGTTATCCTAGAGGGTGAAGTGAAATGATATTGAGGAAACACCAGCTGTTTGATTGACTACTTACATCAACAGATGATACAGGAAGGGCTCCTTCCAACAGAGCTGGCTTGATCAATACATGCCACTGAAATAGCATGACATGTAAACAGGTCACAGAAAGAGTAATAAGATCCCCATGTTCCCCAAAATAATTTTCACTTTTCAAACGGGAATATTAAATATAACAATTGCTCAAATAAAAGAAGCCAAAGCCTGAGGAGAATAAACCAGTTTAAATATAACTGCATCCTGGAAGAGTTGTAACACATGGCTCACAACTGTATTTAGTGTTCCCATGAGTGGTAGGTGGTAGAACAGTGGCTTTAGTCAGTTTTTTTTTAAAGTTAGGCATCTCCTAATATAATAAGAATAATAAGAATAATTGTCAGTCTGAGAACAAGAATAGGATTTTTTAATACTTACCTCCATCAAACTGGAAGTTATAAACAGAGATGAAAGAATGAACTGTAGGGCAGAACTTATTCTACTTAGGAGTTGAAAAAGAAAGCATGAAATGATCCACACACACGGGGGCAGTCAGATAGCTGGATTATACAGCAGACAATTTTAGATCCAAGCTTCTGTTGTTCAGCTACATCAAAACCAGTCAGACCAGTCTGAATGCAAAATTATATTTCTGAAGAGATCAATGATGTTGTGATTTTTGTACTACCCCTGTCCACTCAGGTTGCTAATATTTCTGATCATGTTCAGCCTCGAACAAAGGAAGAACATACTGTCTTGTCATCAGACCATTTATTTTTCATTAATATCCTTATTGTGCAGAAAAAAAGAGATTGAATTAGAGATTGAACATAAGATTAAGTTATCTGTCAAGGAAAAAAAGGTTATCTTATAGTTTATCCTTGTCAAATGAGGCAACCACCGATTCAACAATCTTTTCCCTTTGCTGGGCCTTCTAAGGACCCTCTGCTTTAGAACAAAGTGTTCTACCTCTCCAGTGCTTGGAGCACCTCTCTGTAGAAATACTGCTGAAGTCAGACTGCAGCTCTGCATAGCAGCAAGGTTTGGGACGTACAAAACCATGAGTCAACTTGTTTTCCAACAAAATACTGCCTTTACACCTGCTAAGACCAGCCTAGTTTAGGAAAGAATTACTAACAAACCTCAACATTCACTTTCTTGACACCTCAAGCCTCTTCCTGTGGGGAGAGCATCTACTTTGCCTGGCCACAAAGCCCACCCTTTCTCCTTTGTTTGGACAAATACCTTATGTGTATGTAAGTCACATCATAGGATTCCTTAAGCAAAGTCTGCTTAAATGTAGAATAGACATGTTTATGTTCTTGTTTACATTTACACATTTAAAAAGAATAAAATAACTCAAATGATGATATAGAGTTGTTGTTTACAGTGCAGCATGTAAACTGTAAGTTATCAGTATTTTCACAAATTATTTGCATTTCCCAGAAGAAAACTAACTTTTTAGTGTGGATTTAGACTCAGTCTTCTCTAAGTATAAATCTTGGTCTGTAAATTCTCTGTCTGCAGAAGACAAATGGAGGGACTTTGCATAACTCTGAGCTGCTTCTTTGTTCCCCAGGAATCCTACAGTAGAAAACATAGGGAGCCTTTATTTTCCCCTTCTCTGCTTGGGATGAAATCCCTGCCTTGCTTCCTCAGCTCACAGTGTGCAAGCTGATTTTCCTGACTTTACATGTAATTTGCAAACAATTCTATATT